GGAGAAATGGGGGGGGTCGGGGGAGGGGGGATAATACGACTCACCCCCTGCGACCAAATATTTCAGATGTCAGCGTTGGCACTATAACAAGATATTGCACTTACTTGGAGAAACAGCACATATGTTCCCCGAGGCGGGATGAACGGCTACGCCTGGGAGGATGCGGGGAGAGTTGAGGGGGAAAAGAGGAATGAGTGTCTCCATCTGTCTGTTGGGGGCAAACAGTAGTTCTCGGGAGAGGGGGGCGTACTCACACTGTCCCTAGGATAGATATCACATAACTTCCTGGCATTCGGAGTAAAAAAAAAAATCTGCTTGTGGACATGGAAGAGGTATGATTTCAACATTATGATGAGTGTGTCATTGCGTGAAGTTCGACACTGAGGAATTGACCATCTCAATGGCAGACAGATGCTATCTGGTTTGGAGATGGATCGAGTACCGTCACACAGACCACTTCATGTGACACCCCCCTCACTTCTACTGGCTTGGGGCGGCTTTTAGAAATTCTTTTATCAGTGGGCCAAAATCAAGCCGAGACTGATCATTGCTCTATCGGGCAAGGATCCAAATCAATATCCCATTAATGTCATAGCTGCTAGGTCGGGATGTATGCCATTGTGTCCTTGGTCTGACTACGAACTGGACTTTTATCACAGACCCTTGTGACTTTGAGATTGAAGGGATGCAGTAATTTTGTGGTTGCGTAAGACACGGATGGATGAATGGACAGTCTACAGGACGGTAGATGTATCTATCAACGGATGGACAAAGGGACCAAACACAGTTGATGGATGGACGCTGCAATGAAAGAATGGACGTGGACTGATGGAGGGGCAGACAGACAAAGCAGATTAAGTTATGGACGACGGGACAGATAAGACAAAGAGCAGACGGATGGGAGGGCGGGTTTATATATTGATGGACTGATAGGCAAGCAGAGGGAATGACAGAGGTAGAAATAAAAGAGAAACAGATAGATGGTTGGATGGACATGGATAGTGAACGAATGGATGAAAGGAACGCTGCTTTCTGGTGACTTGACAGTCCGCAAGACTGTGCTGCTTGGTCCAGCATTGTGGCAGTCTTTACGTTAATAGACAGTCAGAGCGAGAGAGGAGGTGGAGATGAAGGACAGTTGATAGCTATCGCAGTGGCTTCCTGGATGACTCAGGCGCGATGGAGTTGTCATCGACTTCCTTTTGAATCACGAGTTACATGCTAGCGTGCCAGTTGGACGCGATCCCCCAGCCCCGCCCGCGACACTACTCATCAACGTCAGGCATCTGTCTCCGTGTTCGCAACATGAACACCTTCACTGGGCTGCAGACGTCATGCAGCTTCGCTGCCATAGAGCTATTAATAACTCAAATGTTCTAGCACGTTGTAATCGAGTTGGGCCTGTTACAAATGCTAAAAGCTGGAAACTGTCACTGAGGCCTCACCTTCAATGTCGTCCTGCTTTTGTTTTTCTTTTACTGGGGTCACCATAAAAAGATGACTAAAGAGCTGTTCATTGAGTGACATCATGTGCAATTAGTGATGTGCTGTACAATGACTGACGTAGGGAGTGCCCACTGAACATATGGCGGGCATTGGGTGGAATCCTCGTACCTCCAAAATCATTTAAGATTGGTCGATATTTTGTAAAAATAACAACCGCACGTGTTGGCTGACCAATACTATAGGTATTGATATAAACATTCACCGAGTGACATCACTACCAATCGGCCGCGGGTATTTTTTTCTAAATATGTGTTTTAATAGTAGTAGTCAGTGGTTGTATTTTGTGTTTAGTTTATGCATGGTAAGATCTACATTTGCAATCTTGTGTATGTGTTAAAAGTGAACTTTGTCGGTTCTGCTTCACCTGATGTGCATTTGCATGTGTGTGGTGGTCAAACACTTCGGGATGGCACATGAGATCTGCGGGGAAGTCGTGGCGAGCTGCTGGTCGTACGCAAAAAAAAAAAAAAAAAAATCCAGGAACTGTCAAAAATCCTTAAACACGTAGCATCCCGTGCAATTCATCTGTAAACAAGAACAGGCAAAAAAGGTCATGTGCAAGGAAAGTTTGAAAACGGGGACCAAAGAAAATTCCACGCTTCGACAGGCTGAAACTAATCTGCCAAAAGGAACACACACCAGAAAATCAGGGTTGACTTGATGACCTGAACAGCTAAACCGGTGTTGCTTTTCCATCAGGGCGATCATGGACTCGGTGTTTGTTTTACCATTGGTTGTGTTGCATGGAGGATGGAATGCTTCAAAACAGGCTGATGATTTTCATTCTGGGCAGCTCGACCTTTCCAATCGAACCTTGTGTGTCCTTAGGATTAGTGCACTCGAAGTGACACACAATGCAACAGGACACAACACAACACACACATAACAACCTCTCTACCAACAGTCATGAGTCTTCTCCCTGAAACAACGGAACAACAGCCACGTCTTACACCAAAGGATAATTGCCCATGATACATCCCATCCATCCACCCATCCATTTCTGATCCGCTTTATCCTCACAAGGGTCGCGGGTCGTGCTGGAGCCGATCCCAACCGTCCCAACCGCCGAACATGCAAATGCCACACAGGAAGGCCGGAGCTGGGATCGAACCCTTGGACCACCGGGCCAGCCAGGATACATCCCATAATCTTAAAATACGCATGTTGTTATATATGTCGGCGTTATTTTTTGCATTACCACACCAAACCACAAATGGTTTCATCCCTCGTCGTTTACGGCTTAAAACATATGCACCTGCAGGATTTAAGGGGAACAGCATGGAAAATCGTTAGTTTGGACGTGCACTTAACTCATACAATGCGAGTTGGAATTGAGAAAACAACAATTTGTGAATCTCACAGCTATTTATTAGTTGGTCCTTTGGGCAGACACCATCAATACTTGCTCTGATCGATGAATGTGCCAGGGAACGTTTGTTCCCCTCTTGCTCTTCTGTTCAAATTCCGCTTGATCTTGGGACGCGTCAGCGCTTTGAAGCGCCCGTATATTCCATACACGGGCTGCTCGTCACCAGTGCAATGAGCAGACCATTAGCAAATGCCAATGGGCACGACAGCGTGTCCTTCGACAAATTAGCGCCCCGAAGGCAACTGCAGTGTTATTATTTTGAAGCGTCCACCGCACATTCATTAATCTTCATTTGCGCTTGTTAAGTGTGGCAATCGAATGAAATCATATGCCTCTTGGGGTGGGGGCGTGGAAGGGGGAGTTGGAGTTTGATCTCGATGTAGAACGAGTCCTTAAATTCGAGAAAA